ATTTAAAATAAATTTGCTTTATATTATCCCCTGATAAAGCTAATTGTTTCATTTTGAATTTCATCTCCAAGGTAATGAGGCATATGTTTTATAGTTTTAATTTAATCAATATATACAGAAATGATAGGGTCAGACTTTATGATAATTTCTATGCACTTTAAAAATTATTATATCGTTCAAATAATTTGTTACTGGAACCAAGGAAGGCTAAGTTTTGTTTGGCTAAAAACTGAATGGCATAGATAATTCTTTCAATAACATCTCGCCAATGCTTAGTCTCTTTTTCTAATAAATTTTGAAATCCGAATCAACAGGTTTATTCTTTCTTAATCGGCGTAAGAAATCAGACCAAAGATGCAGATTCCGGAAATGCGTTTTATTTTTTTCCATTAAGTTTAAAGTGCTCAATTAGTCATTAAATTCAGAACTACTGATTCTAGGCATTAAATTCAGAACTACTCAATTTTACGTTGCTGAAACTGTTAAAAATTTTGCAACAAAAACAATGAACAGAATTGTTTTCAGCAGAATTAAGAAACCAATCCCTTTTAACTCTTCCGTTGTATAGCAAGATTCGACAAAAGTACATCTAAAATTACGTCAATTTTTGTCTTTTGGGAGACTGAAACTGGAAACCAGGTTTTCATAATATCCAGGACCATTTTCTATTAAGGCTTGAAATTAGGATTTCAGTAATAGACTTGGGCATAATCCGGAATCATCAGGCACAGGCAAATGCATATCTACTGCAAAAATTTTAGTTTTCACTAGTACTTCTTCTGATTTTTCGATCGTCTGCATCAGGAGTTAAAGGTAATTTCCGGGTGAAAACACTTTCTAGTTCTTCCTGATTATTAGGTTCTTTTGGTAAATTTCAATGGTAGCCGACACGTTGATGGACAACTAGTGCTAATAGCGTCAGCGTGGGTATTCTTTGAGTTTCGCAAAAACTGAGTAATTTTAAAGTTCTGGTTTATTAAGTCTTCCTCTCACTTTCGTTTTCTTCATTAAATTCTGATACCCACACAAAGTTCTCCGTTTTTCTTCCGACATCTGGGGACAAATGAAGAAAAATAAAAGCGGAAGTAAAAATAAAAGTAGAAAATAACTATTATAAGAACTACTGCGTAAAACACTTCTTCAAAACATTGGGAAAGTCACTGTTTGAAATATTTTACCTTCTGAAAAATTGAGTATATCTTAAACCATTGCTTGGAAAATATATAAAACTATTAGACCATACGAAATAATTCAAGGAGGTGGTGGTAATCTTTTGTTTATTAAAGTAAATAAATCAAATTTAAAGTGTCTATTTACGACGTGATGAAATAATGAAACATTTTCCTTCAGTTTTCCGTATCGCTAAAAATCAGAAAGTGGCCAGTTTTTGATTTTAGAATACCTTGTATATTTTTACTTCACTTTATATCTCAAATAGGTATAATTTAAATTCAGTGGTACTCCATAAATATGTCAATCCTTTCTTCTAGAAAGATAATAATTTTTAGTTTAATAAACAAATGGTTCATGCAAAAAAAAAAAAAAAAAAAAAAAAAAAAAAAAAAAAAAATTGAGTAATTAGGCTCAAATCGTCGCTTTTCTGAATTACAAAGCTAACCTAAATTTAACATAATATGTAAGTGCACTTAACTTTTTCTATGTAAAATAAAATAACAACAAGCAATCAGAAAAAAAAATTAGAAAAAAATTAAATGGTGCACAAATTAGTGCGATTGTAACAGTAGACACAAAATAAGGACCAAGCAATTTGTCGAACGCGTCTATGGCGCAGGCCTCTACCCTTACATAAAAACGGCATCTCGTATTTTCGTTCACATATATTTACAAGATCAGTTCAACTTATGTCAAAAACTGCAAAAAGCATTAACTGATAAAAATCAAACCGATATAAATCGTAGTCAACATATATCGTAGTCAACAACATTAGCCGTGTGCAGAAAAGAATTTTGGATATATCGCTAGATATCAGCCCTAGAGCATCTTTTGTGCTCTGTTGTAATCACAGTTTGAACCTTGTCGTAAACTACGCTGCGAACAACAAATTAATCAATACAAACTTCTTAGATATGTAAATTAATTTGGTTTAATTTTAAGGTAAGAAATAATGTTCAGCAATATATTTGGTAACCAATGCGTTTAGTATATTGTTTCGCTTCGCTTGCAGTGTTACTTTTGTATATCATGTTATTGTTGTTGTTGACTAATGCTGAGTTATCTGACTTATAGTCAGCCCAAGCCCACGAGATCCTTGGGGCAAGGAGCTCAAGATACGCCTGTCGTTGAACAGCACCCCGGAAGGAACGGGTCCGAGCATCTCCTACACCTGGTCCCCTACCACCAACATCTTCAGGGGACTTTCGGCTCGCCGCATATTTAGAGTGCCCCCGTGCCGCACAGACACTATACATTTACAAACATACATGCCTTCTTTGGGATTCGAACCCGGGCCCTTCGGCACGGCAGTCAGCAACGTTAACCACTATACCGGCAATTTTTTTATAACTTAATTATATGTATAAGTCTTCAATAAATATGTTTGAGTGTGGGTTTTAACAAAGAACAAAATGTTTGCATATTTAAACAAATTCCAAGATAAAATGTAATTTTTTGGCTTTTCATATTATTGTGTTAATAATGCTTCATTTTAAGTGTTAACTCAATCAATCAATCAATACATGTATTGATGGGCTATCGCTAATATGTGCAATATTGCCGTCTCATTGATAATTCTGCCTGAGTATGGGCACATGACGTAACAGTCAGACGGGTAAGAGGAGGTCTGAGGTGAAGAGAGGGGGGGGGTGACCATGCACCACAAGGTTATAGAAAACAAAACATGAGACCGAAAACCAGTATAGGGCTTGACAAAAGTAAGGGAATCTGACTGATGTTATCAAAAACATACATAAGAATAAAATATAGGTATACAAACATTTTACTAAGAATAAATCAATACAGTAAAATTGGAAATCAAGGATAAATGTGAAAAATACAAACTATTTACACATATATACAAAATTGCAATTAAGTTGGAAAATTTGAGTCACGGGTGAGGTGGCCGCGTAAGGTCTAATATTTGCATCCCCAGGTAAAATAATATAGTCGAGTGTATTAAAATCACTCAAATGGGAGCAGAGTTTGGCCTTTGTAAAGAACTTTTTGTTCATACGATGGATGAACTCCTTTATACGCTCAACTTTTAAATCATTATGTAGAGTGTCGTTGGATACATAGAAGTGAGCTTGAGTAACAAGCCGTAAGTACTTATTTTGTGTGATATGAAGTTTATTTAGATCTTTATTAGTGACCACTGCCCAGACAAGCGAGGCATAGGTAATAATAGGCCTTATAATGGCTGTGTAAACATGCCTTTTCCTTAGAAGATCTAGTTTAGAAAATTTTCCTATAAGCGGAAATAGATTTTTCATAGTGGAGAGGGCTTTGCCTCGTACTTTATTTATGTGATCACCTGAAGTGAACTTGCTATTGAGAGTGACGCCTAAGTAGTTGGCCTTCTGAACTCTGGGAACTTCAACATTAAAGAGCTTGAGTATTGCAGAGACAGGAGTTCTTTTGGCCTTTTTCTGTATGACGAGTAGCCGTGATTTCTGTGCATTGATAGAAATTCTCCACGCTGTGCACCAGTGTTCTATCTGGGGTGTGATGATCTGTAGTTTATTGAATGCATTATCGACGCTGAGTGACTTAACTGCCAACGCCGTATCATCGGCGTAACATTCCTACGAATCCATTTAAGTCCGTGTAAACACGCGGAAAGTTCGCCACATAAAATATATACAAAATTGGGCCTAAAACAGACCCCTGTGCTACACCTGCATTGAGTCTCTTCTGCGGGGATTTATCCTTACCGATATTCACGAAAAATTTCCGATTCTTGATAAATGAGTAGATAAGTAAGATTAAGTCCCTGTTGAAATTAAGTTTTAACTATAAGCAATTTCCCTTTAATATTGGGGCCCACCAGCGGCCGAGCGGTAAAGTCGCTGAACACTGGTAGTTCGGTCCGAGGTTCGAATCCCGCGAACGGGCTGGCTGCATGGGCGTTTTCGTGGTTTTCCCCATGTGTAACGTGTATACGAGCCAGTTTCCCTTAGAAAGTCCTCCACGAAGGCATCCCTCCCCTTAGGCAGATAGCCCTCGTGTGCTTTGCCATAATTAAATACACCAAACACCCTTTAATATTGTCTCTACATAAAGGCGCTCGCTAGACATTTGCACGACGGCGCCGATTAGGCTTGGCGCGGGCCTGATGGTGGTATAATTCAAGAAGACTTGTTTTCACTTATGGTACGTTTCCGAAAACATATTTATGTTTTTATAGCGGATATCAGAAAGATGAACCGAATGATATCGATTCATCCTACTCAACGGCAGCTACAGAGAATTTTGTGGAAAGCGTCAATTAATGGTCCAATTAAAACTTTTGAGCTGAACACGGTCACCTATGGCACAGTAAGTGCACCTTTTTTAGCCATGAGAACATTACGCCAGCTTGCTATAGATGAGTTCACAAATTTTCCATTAGCAGCTGCAGTTTTACAGAGTGATTTTTACATGGATGATGTGTTAACAGGGTCCAGGTTATTGAGTTCGGCAACAGAGCTACAGCATGAATTAATTGAGATTTTAAAAAGTGCAACTATGACACTGCACAAATGGTGTAGCAACGATCCGGAGCTTGCAGTTAACGTTGATGATGCATACACATTTCTGTGCGCGAATTAAGTTTCAGCTCTTGGTGTTTCCTGGAAAGCAGATAAAGATTGTTTTAATTTTAAAGTGAAACTAGAAAATGAGTGTGGAATTACTAAAAGGCAAGTTTTGTCAACAAATAGCGAGAATCTTTGACTCACTTGGTTTATTGGGTCCCGTGATAGCTAAATCTAAAATATTTCTTCAGAGACTATGGTTTTTGAAGCTCAATTGGAACGAACTTCTACCTGAAAACGAAGCCAAGAATGGAACCAAGAAAGGAAAGCCAAGAAAGGAAACACCAAGAATGGAACCGGTTTATCTCTGAACTGCCACATATATGTAAATTAGAAATTAAGAGATGCATTCTTATCGCAGAAGCAATTGTTATTGAGTTACACGAATTTTGTGACGCCTCTGAGTTAGCTTATGGAGCTGTAGTTTATTGTAAATCCGTCTCCCAATATGGTGAAGTAGTGAAAAGGCTTGTAACAAGTAACTCAAGAATTTCTCCTATAAAGCAAGTTGCCATACCAAGATTAGAGTTATGCGCAGCTGTATTGCTTGCGAAGTTAATGACTCGAGTAATATCTGCTCTGAAACTTAATACGAATAATGTATTTTTCTGGAGTGACTCTATGATAGTCTTGTCTTGGCTGCAAAAGGAGCCTGCTGTATGAAAACGTTTGTTGCTAATCGAGTTGCGGTGTTTCAAGAAATGACGGATGTGCGACAGTGGCGGTATGTTCCATCCGGTGAAAATCCGGCTCCAGGGGACTTGACTCAATCAAGCTTATTCAAAGTGAACTATGGTGGAAAGGTCCTGGTTTCCTGATGAAGGATAAGTATCCATGTAAATTGATTCCTAGGAAAGTTATTGTGAAAGACTTTTCTGATGAACTCAAAAAACTTAGTGGCTCTAAAATTTCACTTAGTCAATTATTTCCTAACAGAATTCTTAAATTTGAGTAATAACTATGTTAAACTTTTCCGTATTTTAAGTTTTATTTACAGGTTCTACAATAATTGCAAGGCTAAGAACAAGATTATCGGTCCTCTTAGCAGTGAGGAAATTAAATATGCGGAAGTAAAACTAATCAAAATCGTTCAAGAAGAAAAGTTTAAAAAAGAATTAGCTAGTCTCCAGAAAGATGGTAAAGTGGTTCCGAATAGTAAGTTAAGACGTTTGTATCTCTTTTTAGATAAGGAAAATATTTTGCGAGTAGACGGAAGACTAGCCAATAGTAAGTATAACCTTGAAAGAAAATTTCCTATAATATTGCGGAAAAATCATAGATTAACGATCTTAATAGCAGAGATGGTCCATAAAAAATACATGCACATCGGACCTCAAGAATTACTGTGTAATATTAGACAAAAATTTTGGCCTTTACGAGCTCGTAATCTTTGTAGGAAATTAGTCCATGACTGCGTGATTTGCTTTAAAGCAAAACCAGTCCCTTGTGAGCAGCTCATGGCCCATTTACCGCAAGAAAGAGTTACACCAAACTTCGCATTCAATTATGTAGGAGTTGATTTTTGCGGGCCATTTCTGATAAAGTACAAAAATCAGAGGAAAGGAGTTCTTAATGAAATATATTTATGAATTTTGTAACAAAGGCTTGCCATTTGAAGCTTGTTACAGACCTTACTAGTGAGGCCTTTATCGCAGCATTAAAAAGATTTGTTAGCAGAAGAGGTAAGTGTGCATGTATCTTTTCCGACAACGTGAGAAACTTTGTTGGAAGTAGTTTAGAATTGGAAAAAAAAAAAAAAAAAAAAAAAAAAAAAAAAAAAAAAAAAAAAAAGAACAAATTGATCAATAAACCAGACGATAAGTTGGGTAATTATTTATCCATCGAGGGCATTGATTGGACTTTCATTCCTCCACGTGCTCCTAATCCTCCTAATCACGGAGGACTCTGGGAGATAGCCGTCAAGTTCGTCAAACATCATCTCAAACGTGTGGTGGGAAATTTAAAATTAACATTGGAGGAATTTTTAACTATAATTACTCAAATTGAGAGGATACTTAATTCACGCCCACTGTATCTTATGTCAGCTGAGTTAGACGACTTTGACGTCTTGATGCCTGGTCATTTTTTGATTGGAAGACCAATAACTGCATTAGTAAAAACCAGCATTTTAAATGCAAATGATAACATGTTAAACAACTGGAAAAAATTAACGAAAGTAATTCAGTTCATCTGGAAATGTTGGTCAAACAATTATTTAAGTACACTTCAACAAAGAAATAAATGGTATTATATTATGGAAAAAATAATGTAGAAGTTGGTACTATGGTTGTTCTACGAGAAGATAATACACCTGTTTGTACTTGGCCGTTAGGCAGAATTATAGAAACGCTAGCAGATAAAGATAATAAAGTAAGAGTCGTAAAAGTAAAAACAAAAAAAATGGAACTTTTACAAGGCCAATTTCTAAAATTTGTATTTTACCTTTACCTAAATGAGTAAAATTAAGGTAATTACAAGATGTATATCCATAAGATTTATGTTATTATGTTGTAATTAGATTGTGTTGTAATTCTATACTTGTGAAAATTTTAAATTGTTGAATGTGACCATGTCAACGCCAGGCTGTATGATCGCGCCTGCAAGCGCAGAGCCCCCGGTGAGAAAAAATTGTTACTGGTGAGCCAGTCGACAAGTTGACGAGATGGAGTAGGTTTAATAAATGAGTGTGTTTACCTTGAGTGCCAGTTTTATTTACAGTTCATTTTAGAGAATGAGTCTAGAACAATATTAAAAGTAAACCGTCCAGGCATAAAAACCTTAATCGGAGCATAAGAACAGCATAATTCAATCACATTCAAAACAAGAAACGCACAATTTACCAGTATTTGAGAATACGAAATCTGAGATCACCGAGGCGGGAGTAAAAACATCGTTTAAATGGATTTTAGAGCCACTAAAATGGATATTTTCATTGAAGTATAATACTCGAAATTTTACGCGATTACAGGACTTCGCTTATATCATTCAAGGAAGTAAAAATGGCATTTTTTAAAATCATACTCTTAAAAATTATTTTAATGATGTTTTAAACATCTGTTACATAACACATTTTTTTTTTAAAAAATCACTAATCTCAACCAATAAAGAATACCTTTAAATTCTTTATAAAATTTAATTAAGGTGAACCATCTCATTACGACTAACTGCCTCAGCTAATCACTTTTTAAAACTAATCAGCATTTCTCATAAAATAATTACATATCACTTAGTAAATATAAAAGTAGTAACACAACAACCTTGAGTTTGGCGTAGATTTATATCAAGATCTCAATCGATTTCGAGGGCAAATAGGTACAGGTCAGGAGCAAAGAAATCAAGACACTTGTTTTAGAAAACATAACTTCTCTAGAAGGCCCACTTTCATTGATGATCGAAATCTTGAGGAATCACCTGAAGCTAGCCTGGGGAATGCTCACGATAAGAAAATAGCAAAAAAAGAAAAATCCGCGAGTAAGCACGATAACTTCTCTTTGTATACATATAGATATGAATCTTTATGTGCAATAAGGATGACAATTAAGTTCATGATTAAAGACTTTTTATGTGTACATAATATTAATCTTGGAATTACCACCAAAGCGGATAACACACAACGGCATACGAAGAATGTTACCGAACAGCCACGAACAGACTTTTTATGTATACTTCATATATATACTGTTGCGAAATGCCCAGCTGTGTCAAGATAGCTTCCCCGCAAAGCGAGTTTAGGGTTTAAAGAAATTGGCAAGGAAAGGCAGGGTTGCCAGATTTGGCCCAAAATCGTCCAATTGGCGATGTGCTATAGACGGAGCCAGAACATTCTAAAACGAATTTATATCTGTTTTCACGAGAATGTTCTCAAAGACAGGTCAAAAGCTATATATATACCCTGCCTGTACGCGGGGTATTGAGAGTATCTTGATGTCGGTAGCATAGAGTAGTATCTTGAGTTCAGCAGCAGTATATTTCAGAGTAGTATCTTGAGTTCAGCAGCAGTATATTTCAGAGTAGTTCAGCAGCAGCAGTTCAGAGGTTAGCTTGACAGAGACCGAACCGAGTCGGGAGCTGTACTTTAGTGCTATGCCATGAAGCTGTGTTCACCGTTATAGCCTGTAGTCTGATGCTGTGTTGCTGATTGTTTCAGAGTGTTTATCGTAGGTTTTCAAAACCCACAATCTTTCTCTAGAAGACGGAACTGCGGTTCGAGCACAGTTTTCCAACAGAGTGATCGGCGTCGTATCCGACGAATTGCAAGGCAGAACAGGGACTCTATGGTGCTTCAACTTCAAATCATCAACCAAGGCTCTTCCCAAGAGGTTTCAGCTTGAACCATGCGCAGAGAATGGCAAAGGAGAGGAATGCATAGTCGAGTGCCTGTGAGAAAACCACTCATTTCTGCCCGACATGCAAGAATTCGTTTGCAGTGGTGTCGGGAAAGACACTGAACATCTGAGGATTGGAAACGGGTAATGTGGTCGGGAGAATCACGCTACAGCTTATTTTGCACTGATGGAAGACGTCGAATTTGGCGAGAATATTCGACAAGGGTCTGGGATACTTTATGGACGTAAATGCAACTATACATCGTGCCAGAAGTGTTCAAAATTGGTTTGCTGAACATCAATCTGACTTTCAACACCTTCTCTGGCCACCACATAGCCCGTATCTTAACCCTATAGAAAAGTGTGGGATATGGTGGAAAGGCGCATCCGACAGCACTCTCCTCTTCCATCTAATTTAAAAGATCTAAAAAAGCTGCATAGCTAATGCAATGGTATTCTCTGGACGTAAATGCACTCCAGAAGCATGTAGACTCGATGCTCAAACCAATCAGAGCAGTTATCCGTGCAAAAGGTGGTCTAATAAAATATTGATCTTGGATTTCTACTTGGATCGTACAGAAATGTTTGACACAACGGCTCTCACAACGAAACTATTACACTACGCGAAGGAAAAACAAGTGAAATAGACACAAGGAGGTGTGAGCTACTAAGAATGCATAAATGGAGCTGGCCGCAAGCTAACGGTATGAGTCAGCGCCCGTCCCTTTCGCCGTCGTCATCGAGAGCGTGGACAGCAATGATGGAAGGTGATTATCACAGCCAGCATTGGACAGAGTGGTTCCTATGGAAAGAAGGGATACGGGGTAGTGAGATCTATCGTCGCCTGGTGTCGGTGTGCGGAAACAAAGTACCCTCAAGGCGTACTGTATTCCGTTGGTTGGTCAAGTTCAACAGTGAAGTTGAGACCTCAGCCAAAGGTGTCAGGGCGGGACGACCAGCCCGCCCTGACAATCCGCCCTGACAATTGAGAGTCAATCGCATACAGCAGCAAATGTGACAGCCGTGTGATTATGGCGGACAGGCGCATAACGTTCAACATGATTTAGGAAGAGATAAGGCATGCGCAAGGAACACTGCAGGCGATTGTGCATGGTGATTTGGAGATGTCAAATGTGTGTACAAAGCGGGTGGACCTCGGACCTCGAACCAAGACCTCAGACTACGCCTTGCTTGACAACATGAAGGACGCAGTCAGGGGCTAACATGTTGAATCTTCTGCCGAATTGCATGCAACTGTCCATAGGTGGTGCACCAACACCCCCACAGGCTGGTTTACAAAAGCCCTTCGGGACCTCCCAGCCAGATGGCAGAAGTGTA